AAAATGCTAACTTTCACAATAGGCGTCGAAAGGGTCATCCAAAATCCGACCCGGACATGCGCCCAAGTCCAAAATCATCATACGAACCTATTGGAACCTTGAAATCCCGATTCTGAGGTTGTTTACTCAAAATCCAATCCTTGCCAATTCTTCCAACTTAAAGCTTCCGAAATGTGAATTCTCCTTCCCAATCAACTCCGAACTTCTCGGAATTCAATTCTGACCATGCGTACAAGGCATAATACCTGAAGTGAAGCTGCTCATGGCCTAAAACTGCTGAACGACGTGATAGAGCTCAAAACGATCGGTCAGATCGTTATAGTCTCCCTCCTGGATAGCCACTTTATATACTCGGTCTTCGTTTTTAAGCAGGCCTCGGCTACCTCCACATTAGCGTTATACTGGCCAGTATTTTCTCGACTTCGGAGGAAGCGATCGAAGTTGCCTCCAATTTGGACTTAAGCATAGTGTATTCTTGGCCTGGTGCATCCCGTTCCATGATGGCTTAGTTCAGTTTTGCCGGGAGTTCATCATTTATTTGAGACCACTTTTCGGCCTCGTCCTTTGCCACCCAGAGCTGGTCCTTGACCGATGTCAGCTCCTCTTTTGTGGCTTCTTTTTCTGAAGCAGCAGGTCCATCCTGCTCTCAACGCCTCGGCCGTGGCCTTGACCTCATCCGTCTTGGTCCCAAGCTGGTCAATCAAGTCTATCTTCTTTTGGACCTGTGAAGTTGCATTGTTAGTCATCACGAGTAGCTTCTTAGTTATAGCCTCAAAGATCCTTACCTTCTCAACCATATCGGCATACTCCTGATTCACATACGAGGCCTCCTTCTGCACCTTTTACAGCTCAGCCTGGAGAGTCGGGAGATCCTTAAGAGCCTTGTCATGTTGTTCACTAAGAGCCCTTTACATGTCCTTCTTCCGGACCTACTACTTGAGCTCAAACTCGAGCGGGTTGATTTCCAAGTGAGACCGAAGAAAGTTTTCATGATGAAGCACCGAAGCCTGAAAAACAATGAGGTCATTAGAACATGCTAAAGCTAAGCAAAATCCGCAAAGGATACAAAAGCTAGATATCTTACCCCGGTTCAGTGCTTGTTGCACCACGTTGAAGAGGCTCGATGTGCCTACTTCGTTCATATTTGCCTGGTCCTCCTTGGTCATAAGGCAACGAACGTAAATGGCCATACCCACCAGAGTGGACAGCGCTCAAGTGTCTACTAGGATAGTAAGAACGTCGTCCTCTTACAGTCGGGATGACGATCGGGATCCACACTTGTGGCAGGGACCTTACTAGCTTTGGGCTCGAGCTCGGCTCCCCCGCTCCCGATGACTCGTCCTTTTTTGGGACATCTAGGTGACCGAGCCCCGAGTAGTCCTCCAACGCGCTCATGTCCATGCCGTTGAAGAACATGTTGAGTGCAACATCTAGGCCCGGTGCCGTCTCGTTTGATTTCTCTTTATCAGCTTGAGCCTCTTCGACATGGACTCTGTATGGGATGGCGTCTCCGCGATGTCAATGACATCAGCTACCTCCTTCAGGGCAGGAGCGGCTTCTCAGGAGGCCGTGGCTCTGACTCTCCTATTGGTTCCTGAGCTAGAGAGAATCGACTTCTTGGCTACCTTTTCTGTTTGCCTTTTGCTCCCCCTCATTAATGGTTGACTCATGAGCAATGAAATCAGGTCGTCATCCTTGGGGTAATCCCTGAGCCTGAAGAGGGAATCGGGGTTCGGTACCCTTGCTTTGGTGCTTACTGCTTTTTTGGATCCGGACAACCACCCTTTTCTTCTTCACCTAGACATCCCGGGAGACCGAGGATTTCCTCTCCTTCTTATTTTTCTCCTCCTTTGCGGCAGCCCCAGGCTGTCCCAAAGTGGAGGGTTTGGCGAGCAAGGACTTCATCCTCATCTAACGACCTAAGCTCGGTGGTCTTGGGAAAACCTGTGAGGGGGAAGAATACTTAGCAAAAATACAAGTCAAGTGTGTGAGTATAATTATTCGGGAGAAAGTCTCACCATGGGAACAGGCCTCCCACTTGCCCTTTGAGTGCTTGCGCCATTCGCGCTCGAAGTAAGACATCTTTTAGCAGATTCCCTTGATCCACTCCTTGAAGTGGGGGACTGCATTAGGAACCTAGGCAACCATTGCACAACGGTAAACACAGGCAATTAGGAAACGAATAAAAGAGAGTGCCAAGCACTCAAGAGTGAAAAGACTTATGAGATGGGTTCCACTTTTTAGGGAACAGTAGAAACACGGGGGGAATGAGGTCTTCAGTTTTCATGCGAACGAACCTCCCCTGCCAACCTCAATCTTCATCTTCATCTATGCTCGAGAATGGGGCTTTACTTGCTCGGCGAAAGAGCTTGATCAAACCCCCTCGGAAGATATGGGGACTGTAGAGACGAAGCAGGCGGTTAAGGGTGAACTGAGGTGCTTCGGTGTTGTTTACGAAGTGGCGAAGGAGGATTATGATCCTAAAAAAAGACGGGTGAATTTGCCTAAGGCTGACCTCGTATCTTTTTTGCAGAAGTTGAGGATTATAGGGTCCACCCAGGCGAGCGTGAAAAGGTAAGTGTAAACACTCAGGTACCCCTCTACGTGAGTGGTGATGTCTTCGTTGGGCCCGAGGGCGACCACCTCCTTGCCCTTCTAGTTACAGTCTATCCGAATTGTGGGTAGTGTAACCTCAGTAACGGAGCATATATACCTCTATGCTCCCTCGCCTCGATCCTGTTAACTAGAGGCTTTCTCGACTTTGAAGTAGTTCTCAATGGAGTAGCCCCCGGGGACGAAACTCTTCAAGGGAGGCTCCTAGGCTACCTCAGGAATGGCCACCTCATCATCCGTGGCCGGGTTGAAATATGAAGAGGCAGTTTGTTGAGGCATAGATTTGGAAGTTTTTGCCATCGGGTTCTGGAAAATATGAAGGTTTGAAGAAAGATATGAAGCTTTGAAGATGGGGATGAAAGTATGGAGCTCTGGTTTGAAGAGTCAAAGAGGAAGTATGAAGATTTAAAGATGAAGATATGAAGATCTAAGGTGCAATGTATGAAGATTTAAAGAGGTTAAAGTTAAGTGGAGGATTCGAGGGTAAATCAAAGAGCTCAGAAATCGGAAAGCGAAAAAGTGAAATAGTTTTTATAGAGGAAGGATAATCAATGCGTGACGTTTCACATTCGAGGACGGTCAATCGGCGGTTGACATGTGTCTGAAGTCAGAGCGACGCGACTAATGGGACGTTTCGTTGACCCGTCAATTCGGTTGTAACTTACGAAGGAAGGAACTGAGGTTCATTTATCACTTCCCGTAGCTTCGATAAATCTACTCTCCAAAAAAGGAAGGGACTATCTTGTACGGGTAAAATCGGGGGCAATATTTTTCCCGATTCTTCGATGAGAGAACGAAGGGGAAGCACAGATCGACATGATTATAATCATGGCCAAAAACCCCTCATATCGATATTCAGGAAGAGTGAACGATATATCCGACATCGGACATGGTAAAATGACGTACCCCGGGCCAAGTATAACTTCTAGACCTTGGGAAACGCGATGAAACGGTTATGCATGATGGCTAGGGGGCCGTAATATTTGCCCTCAGTCGGATATTACAGCGCGAATCTCGTTCAGTATAGATTATGGATCAACAATTACCGGAAAGAGAAGATTTTTACCCATTTTAGACTTATACTAGAGTTGGAATTCTCCTACTATATAAAGGGGCAGTTTTATTTTAGTCTAACACATTGTAACACACAATTCAAAGCAATAAGAAAATTTACTTTTGTCTTCTAGCTATTGTTCAAGGCATTACTTGTTTGTTCTTTTCTTTACTCACGACCGAGCTCGCACCGAGAGTCCTATTGAGTACGAATTCCACTGTTCAATCTAAGATTAGGCCTGATCATCATACTGCAATTGGTTTGATCGTTTGTTTCGTCTTTAATTGATCTATCTGTTATTCTTAATTATTCGTATTGAATTAAACCATGTATTCTTTAACCGCGTACAAATTTTAATTTTTACTAGTTTTTCAGGTAAACAATAATAATAAGAAATATTGTACATTAGGGACACTAGGGATATTAATTATTGAATATTGCATCATGTAGGCCGAAGGAAATGATGAGAATTCAGGTTCATACGACTTTGTTTGTTGGCAGGTCGAAGGAAATGACAGCCACTAATCAACCTCAGCACCTAAATTTCACAAAATTAAAATAGCTTCCCATTGAGCCAAATAAAGTTATTGGTTTAACGGCTAACAATAAGTTAATTAACGTGAACGTATTAACATATAGAAGTTTCAAATTTGGGCCTAACTTGAATTCCTTATTCTGATTAGTAGTGTTAATTGAAGAAATGTCAAGTTCTGGTAATTTAATTTTTGTAATTATATCGTAATTTTATTTATGTCTATGCTTTTAATTAGAACACCTACAGACTGCAAACAAGGTTCTTCATTGTTCTCAAGAGCAAGTCCGCAAGATAAATATTAGTCCATCCATTTCAACTTTGATTATTCTCTTGAAAAAAATATAGATATTTTTTAATTTTACGGTAATTATGACAACTTTTACTAATTTTTATAGTAAAAGGATGAAGTGATACATTTAAAATATCACCACAAATTAATCTCATTTAATTTTCGAAAAATCAGAAGTGATAATTCAAACAGTATGTTATCCTCATTGCTTCTTGTGTCCCTTTCTATTGTTGCCCCTAAAACGTTTGAGTGACTTTACACAATGTAGCAAGAAATGAATACTTCACTCAATATACGCCAAGTATTAAGATCCACAATTTTTGTTATCCTATACAACAACCTATAACTCTCCCATCCAAAAATCTAAAAACCCAAATAACTAACTCTCACATCCAAAAATCTAGAATAGAATACTTCACTTCAAATGTTAGTTTTAGTTATATAAGTATAAAATATAGCACAAGAAATTGGTAAATAATACTTACTAGAAGATCTTGGTAAGAACCAAATTGTAATTGCAATAGGAGATAAATGCCTCCCAAAATGCACAATATTCATTGAATTTTACATTAAAACGTCACTTGAATTTATATCATCAAAACTCACAAAATTACAATTCCTCAATTTAATTCCTACTAAAAAAGAAAACTTCAAACTAAAAAAGATTAGAAATCAAATCCACCAACATCACCAAATCCACCATCATAACCTCCAGCATCTGAGATTGCATCTCCGATTAGCATTCCACCAAGTGCTCCACCAAGCAAACCCGCCCCTAATCCTAACCCGAAATTATTGTTCTTCTTCGGTGGCCGAGCTTGTTGCACCGGCGGATATCCATATCCATATCCGCCTTGTTGCGGCGGATATCCATATTGGGGTTGTGGCGGCGGAGGATATCCACCATATGGCGCTGCCGCCTGCGGTGGATATCCATATCCATATCCTCCTCCGGCTGCCGCCTGCGGAGGATATGCCATAGGCGGTGGTGGAGCAGGTCCATTCCCGCCGTAACCATAGGCGGCGAGAGGTGGTGGGTATGTCCCACTCGGACCTTGCTGCGGCGGCGGTGGGTATACGGAAGTGGACCCCACCATCGGAGCTGGATTCACCGCCGGATAAGCAGTAACCGGCTGGTCAACTTTAGCATCGACACTGCTAATAATCTTATCACTAAATTGGTAAGAAAAAGTGAGTTGACCTTTAGGTTTACCAGAAGGTTTTCTAATTTGATAACTTACAAATTGTTTGCTTCCTGTACTATTGGGAGAATCCAGAAGCTCTTTAATAGGTACAGTAACTTCTCCAATATCTTTATCACCAAGGGCACGTTGACACCGGAGCTTGAAAACAAGATTCAAACGGGTGTGAACAGCAGCGTTATCGTCTATAGTGAATTTGATCGGGAAATTCCACGTGGGGTTGTTGTCGCCGTCGTGATCGACGTGGGTTTTGGTTTTCTGGTCGGATCTGTCGTCGGCGCCGGAGATTGAAACGACGACGTACACGTCCATTTTTGTGATTAGATTGACCTTGTTGAGATCTTTACCGGACATAACGTTTATTTCTAACGTACGATGTTCCATGGCTGTGAATTTTAGGTGTTCTTTAGCAGAGAGTAATTGAACTGGAGAATTTGAGGGAGTATGAAGGAAATTAAGAATGGGTTTTGTATTGGGAGAAAAATTCAGAAGAGTCGTGTGTCGTGATAAATATGGAGACAGGTCAACGTGTTTCCGAGTAGGTTGCGTTACTTGGCTGGCGGCTTCTTCAAGGAAGTTGATCAGAAGTAACCATGGTTTAGGTTCAGTCATATATTAGAACCATAGTTTAAAAAAGAGTTAATACCCAAAATCCCCTAAACTATCATATTTTTGTCAGTTTTCTATTTAAACTATTCGGTGTCCCCAAAACCCTCCCTGAATTATATTGCCCTTCATATTAAAATCATCATTGCATTCTTAGAGGTGCGTCTAGTACATGCTCTCAATTATCTAAAAAATATGTCATGTAGTACTACATGTGGCTATTTAACTCGGCCTAAAACCTGCTTAAACTATTATTTTTTTGACAGTTACCTGCTAAACTATCTTGTGTCCCCAACACCCCCTGAACTATATTCTCCTATATATTAAGACTTTATGCTGATCTTTTAAAGGTGCGTCTGTCTAACTATATTAACTTATGGTTTGTACAAGATATTTTTATATAGTTTATTCATGATGTATTACTCTCGAATGACTGATTACTTCTAGAAGTTTTGGCTAAAATAATATCAAATATTCTGTATTAATTTTAGGTTTAACTGTGATTGTGATTGTGCTTTATGCTATACTCTTGAATAAGTCCTTATTTATTTCCACTTTATAGCACAGTAACAATATAAATGAAGGCATATAATGTTGCATTTCTTAAAAATCATCTTATATTACATAAAAAAAGATTACACAAAATACAATTTCACAAATAAAAAATCAATTAGCCAACAATTATATTCTCTAATTCCAGATGATCACATAAAGAAGGTTCAAGAGATTCAACCTTGTTTTCTACAAGGTGATGAGTTTAATAAGAAGATTTAAATTGGTGTTCTTTCAACAATGTATGTAAGACATGAAAGAAGACTAAAACAAGAAAGAGAATAAATCATATATTTTTGAGGAAACAAGAGAGGGAGAAATTTTTCAAAGGAAGCCCATATGGAGAGCTTAAGAAAAAAGGTTAAAAAATGAAGTAGAAGGTGAAAAAAATAAGGAAGGATAGTGGAAAATGAGGAAGAAAGGTGGATATAACTGAAATAAGGAGAATATTTATTAAAAAAAAATAATTTAAAAGATAGTTAGACTAATTAGCCATTATTTTATGTCATGTGGGCAATTTTGATGTTTTTTTCAGCTGCCACGCGCTCCCAATCGAGTATTTGCACATGTTATGTCAGGTCAGCAACGAGGGATTTTTAATATGAAGGGCAATATAGTTCAGAGAAGTTTTGGGAGCACCAAATAGTTTAAGTAGGAAACTGACAAAAATATGATAATTTAAAGGGGGTTTTACTGTATTAACTCTTGAAAAAAAAAACTTATACAAGCAACTTTTGGCATTTAACCATAATTAATTAATAATATATTCACATTACAGTAAATCATTTAATTATAATAAATTAATATAAATAGGTGCAAATATTTCATGTGGGTAAGTATTTACCTCTCTACTTTAGGCATTATTGCATTTTTTTTCTTTTTTGGATTTTCTGCCTAACTTTTTTGGTAAAACAAAGTTGAATAGTTTTTGCATAATCCTTGGTCACGAGAGGTGAATAACGCAAGATTAGCCAAAGAGGGATTATATTTATGTTTGTAAGGGCATCTCCAACCTTCCCCTGTTTCTCCATAAGGGTATTTTTTTGCTATAATGAATCTCCAATGCTCTCCCATTTTTGCCCCCAAAATGGGGATGAATAGTATTCCTCCAAATATGGAGTGACACTATTCATCCCTCCATTACTATTCATGCTCATTTTATTATTATTTTTATTATTTAATTCTTTTAATTTATCTCCTTATATATACTTAATTATGTTTATGTAATATTTTTATATTATTAATTTTACATCTTAACTTTGGCATATAATTTTGATAAATTAATTTTCATGCATTTATTATTTTTATGTAAAATTGTAAGTTAATTTTATTTTAAGTTATAATTGTAAAAAAAAATATAATCATCTCAAAAATGAATGGTACAAATATAATATTAAATGTTGCTAAAAGATAATAATATAATATTGAAGAGAGAGAATAATATAAAATAATATATTTTTTTTTGGAGTAAAAAATAGAGTAATGGTTACAGTAACTTTACTTCATTTTGGAGTTTACTGTATTTTGGTAAAAAAAATGGAGGCAAGGGTTGGAGATAGTCTTAGACAATTTTGAAGTGGTGTATTTAATTAAACAGTCATAACTAAATTGAATGGAGTAGTAATTTAGTGCGTAGTATTTGTACGCAAAAGTACACATATCTCTCTGGTATAGATAAAAAGACATTAACAATAGGTATCAGGTCATTTTAGAACAAACTGAAAATAGAAGTAGAAAATTAAAAGTAGATCCAAAATATTTAGTCAACAAAATAAAGGAACTTAATAGGATATTTAGGAAAGAGCCCACTTACAGAAGAGCAGCGTGTATGGGGCAATTTGGCATATGACAATAGGAATCTTCCATGATTTTAACAGGTCATGTTTCATGTTTGAATACTTCTTGCTTACTAAGAAAAGTCTAATGATATTTGTACTGCCCTTTGACGAAGGCAAAAGAAAAAAAGAGAAAAAGAAATAAGTAGAAAGAGAGTTTGGTATATTCTAGAAGTTGATTAGGACATCTAACACCAGCGATGAATATATATTAAAAAATTTATTAAATATATTTAAAAATTAAATTAAAAGCCTAATAAATAACATCTGATGTTGCTGTTTTAAAATGTGAAACTAATAAAGTTCAAATCCCAGATAAAGAGCTAAGCATTTACAGTTGTTTCCCAAGCGCATGATAGGCCTAAACAGCTGCACCTTTTCAGTTCTTTTTGGTATCAAAGATATGGCGTCGTAACTCTACCACAACTGTAATTATTAAAAAAGAATATGATATAACAAATGCTAAAACAAGATTAAAACATATAAGTCAGTTACTTCACAACCTTAAATACTGGTAATCAAATATGCAGCACATCACACATTATTGCTAGGGAATAGTACCAAAGTTATTTGATATGGTGAAAATTGATTTAATACTTCTGTTCAATATTGAGGTAGTATAAAATTGGCGGAATACATGTGCAGCCCCCTTAACTTGGCCGCCTTTTTTCTATCTAGACACTTAAACTAATCTCATGACCTATTGAGCACTTGATCTCTATTCAAATAGTGCATATTAGAAACTAGAAATTGACATGGACCAGAAGCTAAATCTTACTTACTTTCAGCGCGTGAATCAGATAAAAAAAGAGCTGAAATGATCTTCTTCTTTACCATTGGAGTCACACCCTCCTGATCTCCTTTTTCACAACCAGATTGCCCCATCTCATTGCCTACTACGGAGCACGACTAGCCCACTGATTTTTCTCTTATTGCTCCTATTTTCTTTTCCTGAAAAGAGAATTTCTCTCAAGACTTACAAACTACTATGACCATGGCCCTTTCTCTTCAATATTATAACTTCGTCAAATTAAAACAAACGCACAAACAGAAATCTAGTGTCACACCTCCTTTTTCCCAGAAAGGGGATAAGGCAGTTTTTCCAATTTAAGTGACATTATTTGAATTTGGGATCATTTATTTATTTTTAGAGTCGCCACTCGAAATTATTTATTTACGGTGTTCCGAGTCACCATTTATTTTAAAATTTCAAATCGAGAAAATTTTGACTCCATTAAAGTCTGTGAAAACTAGAAGATCGGGTAAGAAATTCTGTTAACCCGGAAAAAGATGTTAGGCACTCCCGAGTTCCGTGGTTTTAGCACGGTCCCTTAACAATTTATACTTGGCTTAAATTGTGTAACTACTCATTTTTGGACCTATCTGCATTTTTTACCATTTGTCGCTTTTAATCACTTGATTATTTGTAAATAAAGAATTATCTTAAAACAAGTTACGCGTACATATACTCATTTAGTTTGGCGTGTCAAGAATCATGTCATGCGTACGTGTACACAATTCACAACACTTAGTTTATTTAAGAAAAAGCTTGGCCAAAGTCGCGCGAACGCGTACCTTGAATTTATTTGGAAAATCGTAATCATGTCACACGAACATGTACATAATCACGATAGTAGTTTAAAACCACGCCTAAAAGCATTTCTATGAGTATTTAATTAAAGCATTTTATTGTTACTAAGAATATTTGACCACGGTCACGCGAACGTGTACCTTAGTTTGTTTTTGACATCACAACTATGTCACGCGTACGTGTACACAATTACAATAGTTAATTCGATTAAAAGTATACATAAAGCTATAATCATGTTTATAAACTACTCTCCTATGTTCGGAGACTAGATGTAAAGGCCCAATGCTATATGAAATATTTATTGAATTAATTGGGCAGCTTACATATTAGCTGCTAAATGGGTCCAAATAAAGAGGTTTTGGGCCTGATAATGGATGAGTCCAAATGAACTCTGGCCCAATACGCGTATCGACAATTATCTGACCAACTAAGGGGATTCAATCAAAGGGAATTTAGGCCTGATGATGGCTGGGTCCAGATGACCCTAGCCCAATGCACATATTACTAACTATTGAATGAATTTAATACTGAAAATTTGTGATTTATTTTTTCGTAATACCAATCATTGAATATTAGCTTGTACTTTTGCACTTTCTTTTTAAAACGGGATGCTAAAAGGAACATAAGGCCTGAGCAAAACAAATCAAAATCCGGTCCAATTTAATAAATTTTATATTTTTGTTTCTTATGTTAACACCGTGTTAAAATGATAAATTTAAAAATCATATTGTGTATCTAAAACTTTTAGAGAATAAATATCTTTAATCAAACTATCAACTTAATTTATTAGTAGAAACCTAGAATACAATTCCATGGACCCAATTGGTTTGGACCTGAAAATGTACCAGATCCACTGTCCAGTTTACTCAGAAAATCCAGTTTTCCATAATCTGAAAATTCTAAAACTACCAAATCGGAATTACTGTATTTAATTGCTTTAAACAATACAGTAAAATTAACT